CGCGACTAAAACGCAATCAAGTTCTGTATGTAATCTAGCCGATTTACGACCGAATTACGTGTGAAAAAACGTGAAAGATTTTCTTGTAGTTATCTATTTTATTGTCCGTGTTTCGATTTTCCGCGTCTCTTCGAGAAATCGAATCGATACGGGTCGGGTAATTTGATTTTTTTTTTCGTATCGATCGCGATGATGATGATGATGACTTTACAAAGCTTGAATAATAGCTGTATACGCGGCGTTGTCGAAGGAAGGGAATTTTCCTGTTTTGGGGGATTTCCAGATTCGCTTAAGAAATGGAAAATATTGAAAAGTTGTTGTAATCCTAGGTAAATTTAGGAAAATACCGATATTTGAAGATATAAGAACGATATTTAAAAAATAATAGTTATTTTGTAACACTCGTTACAACCCCTCTATACCAAAGAATTGTTTCCCAACTCTATTAAACTTCTGTCATACGAAATGTCATAAACGTCAAATTTGACAGTTTTTTTGTTTATCTATCTAACTCATATTAGAGTATGGTGCATGTTAGATATTCCTGCATGGGATTAGTGCAAATTATATTTCAGTATGTAAAGGTTTTATTACAATATTTTCTCCTCGCCTAAATTATAAGTTTGGCAACATTGCGTACGATTTAAAACGTTTCTTTACATCGAGGAATTACAGATATTACCGAAACCGTTTTACTATTAGACACCAAATAATTACACTTCGATTAAATTCGAAAAAAAAATGCTAGAAAAAAGCACGAGCGGATAAAGTTGTATATCTTTTGCTTCCCGAGAAAATTATCGTTTTTTTTAACCATTCAATACCTGTGTCAGTACTCACAAAGTACCATCATTGATTGCGGATGTGGTCTGCTACCTGATTGTATACAGCCCAGGCTTATAGAAAAACAAAACCAACGGAATCACTTTTATTTTAATGCAGTAAAAAAACCAAATTACCTCATTCGAAATTTACAATTTATCGACCTGTTCTAATTGAGAAAACACCGTCGCCATTTCGCCAATCTCCAGGGGAATCCCCCAGCCGTAAATTTCGCGCCGCCGCCCTCTCGATTCCCGATCGAAAAACTAACGATGCGATGTTCATTAACTTTATCGTACATTAAAAGATACGATTGAAAATGTGCAATCGGAGTCTGCACGGCTCGTGCAACTGCAACTCGACACACACGTGTCCCGTGTTCATTAAACCGAACGATCAACCGTTGTTTAGCGGGGAATGTTAGGGAGATTAACGAGGAGATGCCGCCCCCTCTGATATATTACCCATTATAAAATCGGTTGTAATGAAACGGAGCTGTCCGATAGAAGAGACGAATGTCCCGTTTATTTTATAATAACTGCTTTACTAGATGTAATAAGAGTGGCGAATGGGCAGGTGTTTAATGGAAATTTATTAAGTGATTATTAGTCGAATTGATTCAGAATAATCAAATATCTAAGTAAAAGAGCAGTCAATTAAACTGTTAAAAATAATCAAATGTCTAAGTAAAAGAGGCAATTTTCAAAAGATCGTGTCAGATTAATCAAATGTTTGAGCAAAGGAGTCAATTATCTTCGCAAAAGAGTCTAATGATCTATTTAAAATAATCAAATATCTAAGCAAAGAGTCAAATATATTCACAAAAGAGTCTACTAATCTGTTCCAAATAATCAAATATCTATAGCAAAAAAAACCACTTTTCAAAAGAGTCTATTAATCGTTTCAGAATAATCAAATATTTGAGCAAAGGAGTCAATAATCTTCGCAGAAGATTCTATCTATTCGGAATAATTAAATATCTAAGCAAAGAGTCTATGCTAATCTATACTGCTCCACAAAAGAATGAAATTCACAAATATTGAGATTAATTTAAAAGTTGCAGGTTTTTTGATCGCCAAATTTAGTACGAATTGTAGAGGTAGGGGCTAAAAATCCACTCAGATATGAGAGAAAACATTTAATTTCGCATTTTTGAAAAATTGGTGATCAAAAAGTCTGTAACTTTTAAAATAATCGCAAAATTTGCGAACTTCCTTAACTTTTGTGGAGCAGTTTATTCAAAATAATCAAATATCTAAGCAAGAGAGTCAATTATCTTCTCGAAAGAGTCTATTATCTATTTAAGATACAATTCATTTTTGACTAGTGAAGTTTCCTCTATCTTATTGTTAGTCAATTGACTCATCTGGGAACATAACGACTATCTTTCATAAATTATCCCTTTTTTAGCTGAATGAAATGATTTTCAATGCATTTAAGCGAACGCATTACACCTAATTAGGAACATTTTTGGGAAAAAGGGCCTTATTAGCGAGCGCACGCGGCCTCTAATCCGTTAATTCGCGAGAAAATAAGCGCGCCTTACCGGGTGCGCGCGTCCCCTTTCGAAAAGAAGGGAGATTTATCGAAAGACAAAAAGGAACGAAATAAAAATAGGGGTAGCAGAACCGTGTGAACGGGGCTCGCGTGCTGTTCACAACCCAGACACGTGCACGCTCGTGCTCGGGACTATTTCCTATTCCTATGCACAACCCGAAATGAAATTTTCGGGTAATTGTGTGTGTACAGCTGTCTTCTGTATCGAAAAATAGAAATCCTCGAAATTTTATTAAAATTTACGGTAACTCCCCATCGAATTTACCATTCATTAATTCCCAAAAACTACTCTGTATGTTCTCTCTGTACTATCTACTATCTACTCTAATCTCTACTCTACTCTGCATTGAAATGCATATTGTAAAACTTTAGCCAAGAATTTTCGCTTGTACTTTTTAACTCACCACATGTAGAATTTATAGTTTGGTAGACTAAAATTAGTTTTCCACGTGCACTAAAAATGTTACATACACATATTTCTACATTTTTCAATTTGTAGAAATTACCTAAATTAAAGTTTTCAAGTAACTAATTAGGTATTGCTATTTTTCGATGGGAAATTTACTAATCACAGTTCGTACAAATACGAGTCACCCTGTATAAGCAATCAATCGACAATTACATACTTTGTTAATTTATTTCGATATATTTAAGTACATATCAAGTTTATTTATACTCTTTGACTGGAGAATTAAGCGGTTTTTAAATGGATTTATTCAGTGAAATTTGGCCTATTCAATAAATCTGTCGTATTTGTTTGCGCATTTATTTATCGATAAAGTAGAATAAATTGTTAGTGAACAGAGTGATTCGCGCATAAAAGAAAAATTGCAATTTCTTTAGGCATCGGATAGGATAAATTGAGCTTTTCCATATTAATGTGCCACCCTGTGTATGTACGCAATGTATGGTATATCTTCCAACCTTCGAACGTGCAGGTGTTACTTTATTCCCTTATCGTTAGATAAACAATCTTTTTGTTTTTTTCCTAGTCGAGTCGAGAGAGAGAAGGAGATTTTTCGGTGCGTTTACATTCGACATTTTTTCAGGTTCGGTTCAAACAAACACTCCTATAAAGATAACTAGGTAAAATACCCACAGTGCTTGTGTACTCCGTACGAGTTATTACAATACATTATACACTAAACATTTGTGTTTGCCGAACAAAACATTTCCTTTACGAAAGAGCGAAGGATCGTTACCTGCTAATTGGTCACTTTAAAATTTATTCTATTACACGAAATAGGAGTCGTTTATTATCTACTTTAGTCACATATCTATCTAGGATAGTCAATTATCCGCACAAGAGGCCGTTTATTTGAACAATTTCACTATTAAACAAGAAAATCTAGAGAGTCAATCATCTCAAATTATCGCAATTATGTCGATTAACTCGAGGGGAAAATGTAGACTAAATGTAGACTAAATTATGTACCTAAGATAGTCATTTGTCCATACAAAGAGGGCGGCTTATTTAAACAATTCGAGTCGAATTATCGCGATTATAATGGGATAATGCAGATGAAATTTAGACAATATGTAGACGAAATGTAGACGAAATGTAGACTAAATTATCTACCTTAGATAGTCAGTCAATTGTACACACAAAGACAGCGGTTTATTCGAACTATTTCTCTATTAAACAGGACACTCAACATAGTCGAATTATTGCAATTATATCGATTATCTCGATGGAAACATGTAGACTAAAATTAGACGAAATGTAGACTTTATCTGCCTAACATAGTCCAAAACCCATAAGCCTAAAGATGGTCGTTTATTTGAACAATTCCCCAATTAAACGAGAACATCTAGAGAGTCACTCACCTCGAATTATCGCAATTATCTCGATTATCTCGAGGCGAGAATGTAGACTATGCGATTTACCGAATTTTCCTACAATTCGAATTTGCGTAACGTTTAATTTCCCAAGCGGACGTGAATGAGCACTTGAACTTTTGTAGGTCACAGCTGTGTCTCAATTATTCATGAGACCATTGTAGAATAGACCGGGTGGCAAAATCACGGACCCCAAATTTATTATGTACAGCATACAGGGTAGCCCAAAACGCGATTAATACGTTAATACACTATTAATTTGTATGGTAAATACGTCCGTTAAATGTTGTAGAATGTACCGAAATAAAATGTAAAACCACCGGAAGGAAATATCTCGGTCAATCAGCTAATGAACTTTACTGGTGTATCAGTTGAACTGTCTGGGTATTTTTTTTTATCGCATCACTCTGTAAGTAGGTGTCCAATTAACGGCGCAATCGGTTAATATTTCGACGAGGAATAAGGCGAAAAATGAATAAAAAAAATCTCTCACATTTCACCTCTGCCACATTGCATTCATTCTACGCTGAGAATTTTCCCGCATTCATCGGTCGATCATCAATGACAATGCGTTGTAGAATCCACACATTCGGAGTGTTTTTTTTCTAAAAATAGTGCTTTGGGGTCAAATGGTCGGCCTTAAAAAACCGTCGTGTTTGTGCATTAGTTAATCTCTCTCGAATTAAATTAGACGACGATAAGTCCCCCCTGTTTGATAACCCTGCTCAAATTGTCTTAACGGAACCGAACGGAATTAACGTAACACATTGTGCATACAATTGGCGGTCGCAGCCAATTCTCGAGCGTGCGAAAATTTCGTCCGACAGAATTTCATTTTATACACAAATATAAATACATAATGTTATTCGAATTCGGCGCGATATCTGGCGGTGACGCAACGCCCAGATAAAAGTTAAATGTTACAAGAAATAAGCGGAGGCTTCGGCGTAGAGAATTGCACGTTTCCCAGTGGTTTACGTTCGACCTGAAACATGGAATTTCGCGCGGTCTTTTTCTTCTTTTACCTGTGGTGAGTACTCGAGTACCGAGAGAATTTTCCAAGCGGTTCACCCGCAGTTTTCGTTTTAGATTTAGCGTTATTCATACCATGTCGTGTTAACTGTTCAAGAGGTTAAGTATGCGTTGTTTGAACAATGTCAATTGAATATGGTTTGCGATTATTACCTATTTTCTAAGGGTATGTATTAATATAACTGTTCATTTCTTTTTAATCAAAAATTATCCTATTATTTAAAGCTGTGGAACTAATCATATTCAATTGATTTTGAAAACGTACAAAATTCAAAATTTCTATCAGAAATAAAGGCATTAGTTTCAAATTTTCTAATTGTCGATTAAACATAAATAATAAAGTGACATCCTTTATAAAGTTCCATCGATCAAATCACAACGACATTGACTAGACGCGAGATAGTTTAAATACTATTTTTTCGCAACATTGAACTTTGAGTTAGGGCTTCGGAAATTAGATAACGTAAAATCAAACATTTTTTTTTCTCAATTATAGATACAAAAAAGACTTATGTTGACCTCTACACTTCACACGCGCTGTGTTAACTACCAGAAATCAATCAAAACTAATCACCTGGCAACGTTGTATACACAAATTAATGACAGTTGTAGCACAACTGTCAAATGTAAAAGTTAAGCTCATGAAAAAAGTAAAAAGACCTAATTTGACCTCATTGACCTACTAACTATTATATGATTAATAGGTCTATGTTTGACCTCTACATTTTACACTGTAGAAATTACCAGAAAACCATTATAACTTATCACCTGGCAACATTGCATCTATACCATTTAATGACAGTTGTGCTGCACCTGTCAAACGTCAGACGTTAGCTTAAAAAAGTGAAAAATACATAGACCTACTAACTAAGGATTAATAGGTCTATGGAAAAAAACTCATTATGACCTCTGTACAATTGCGATATACACCTTGCTCCATTTCCGATTGCAACTTGGTCATTTCTATGAGTGGAACAAGGAAAGATTATTAAAATGACAGTTGTCAGAGTGAAAAGTTGCAATGACACAAATGTCACTCTTTCCTTTTCCTTTGTAAGTGTCTAATGGAAGTTGTCTTTATCGCACCCATGGCCTATAGAACCTATAATGTTGCGATCAAAAATGGACAACCTGTATAATTACCAGAAAATCCAATAAAAACCTAGTCACCTCTCAACATTGCATGTACATCATTTAATGACAGTTGTGCTACAAAACACCATTTAATGACAGTTGCGCTATAAAACACCATTTAATGACAGTTATACAACAACTGTCAAACGTCACAAATTAGCTAAATATACTTGTAATAAACGAGCGCATATTCCAGGTCATCGGCGGATTCGGAAAACCGCAACACCTCGCAGGCCCCCGCCTACCTGGAGAAAACGGAACAGGGCCTTTGGAGCATCCCTTCGGGCTCGCCCGGCATCCTGTCGGCGAACTTCGGCTACAACAACATAACGCGCCTGCGCGCCTTCGCCTTCCATCGCAGCGGCTTCGTCGATCTGGAATCGATCCGGCTGCGCGGCAATCGAATCGATTCGATCGATCGCCGGGCGTTCAGGGGGCTCGATCGCCTGCGGGAGCTCTACCTGCAGGAGAACCGCATCGAATCGTTGGACTCCAACACGTTCAAGGCGAACGCGCGGCTGCTGAAGCTCGATTTGAGCTCGAACGGGATCCGGTTCGGCGAGGGGCCGTTTTTGAGCTCGCCCTCGCTGGAGACGCTCGTTTTGAGCGACAACCGCATCGAGCGCATCCATCGGGCTACCTTGGCGAAATTGCCGAATTTGAGGTATTTAATAGTGAATTCCAACGAGTTGTTTCTGATAGCCGATGGGAGTTTCGCGTGGACGAATCGATTCGTTTATCTGTCGATCGCTCGAACGGGGGTTTACAAATTGAGCGACGGGATGTTCGGGAACAACGAGAGTTATCCGAGAGTTATCGATTTGACTGATACGCCTTTGGCGAACGCTTTCGATCCGCCGTTGACTAAAGTTAGGAATAAAGGAGTCAGTGATTTGATTAATATCGATAAATACTTTTAAAATGTTGTTGTTTTTTTTTGGCGCAGGTCGTTTTTGGGACGTCCTGTATATGACGTGAATAATTGTCTTCATATTGAAGATGAGTTAATTTATGATGTATATTTTAAATAGGGGATGGTGCGCGATTAGTTTTCACACTACTTAACATATCTGTTAAGTATAAACTACGAGGTAGATATTGGACTAAATGAATAGTAAATTTGTATGTAATTTTTCAATATCTAATCATGTGTTAAGTAGTCTGTAAACTGCAATATCCCTTTATAAAGACTTTATAAAGACAATGCACCGCCATTGTCGCAGACTGAATTTTCCTCTAATAACTTTAAGTATTATCAATTACCTAAGTAAACATTAGACTAGGACTTAAATTTCTGTTCCCATAAAAGCGAAAAAAAAAAATCACCAGGTCATAGAATGACTTGCCAAGAGTGATATAATTGCAATTTAACGTGTATTGTGTAAAATCGCAAGCGATAAGATATTCGGTATTTATTAAATGCGTATATACTCACGTAATTATTAAATAATATAAAGAATTTTATTGTTTGTATACAAAAAGATTATTCTTTCGCGCAATTCGTAAACAGATCGAAATCCGATACAAACAAACTGCTTTCTTATAACATATTTACAAATAATAGATCATTGTATTTATCTATTTTTAGATTTTTCAATTATTCTACTTCAGTAGAACGCCCTGTATATACAAACTCAAAGCGGAATGTCGTTAGATGGAAATACAGGGTGGCGTTACTTAATCGTTGATCGATTAAATGGCGAAAGGAATTTCATCGAAAGGAAAAAAAATCGGGTTTTTTGCATGCACAAAGTTCTCGAATTACATCCGCTCGTTTCTCCTAAAAGGCATATTAAAATTTCCAAGACCTGCATGTCATTAACTCGTCGTTTCCTGTCGCACAGGTAGAAAATAACAGTTTGTAATTTCAATTTCGCTTGCGCAAACACCTTATTTTCGAATCGGTTGTGGAATTGCATTATTTATATTACTCGGTGTTTTTTTTTTCGATTTTATCGATTCGATCGTTTGTTTTTTTATATTATTATCTACTCCCATTTTTTATATTAATAATAATAATAGTAATTAAATTGTTATTGAATTGTGTATGTAAGTAGATGAAATTGTTGTTGTTAAATTGAGATGTTCGAATGTACCTGATTTATAAGGAATTATTTTTAAAATAAATGTAAGCAAACGAGCGCGTCTTATTTGCGATTTTTTTGGTCCTCTCTGTACACATCTCAGAGCCACTTTCCTTATTCGGTAACCCAATCCGTAAAAGGCCGTAAAATTCCTCTTCATCCGGGGAATTTCGCATCGTCCGTCAACCCTTCTGCTCGGAAAACCCGCCGTTTCACCGCCAAATTTCCCGAGAAAACCGCCTCCCGACGCTCCGAAGAACCCTTTAAACCGACCGAATTCATTAAAACCGCCCAAACGGGCGAGAAACGACCCCGTTCGGGCTATTTCCGCCTCTCAACGCCCATCTGCGCAGCATTAGAACAACCAACAAGTCCTGTTCAAATGGGAATGGATTCTCTCAAAACGGCCAGCTGGCTCGTTATTATTAACTTTTTCATTTCCACCAGATCTGGAACTCGTCTCTACATACTCTGCTTCACTTTTTACAGCTCACAGATAATTTCATACAGGGCGATCTTACATTCTTACCCTTTCATGAAACGTTAAGAAAACCGCATTAAGAAAAGCCTCCCTCTTTGGGGGACGATTCGACGATCATCTGTCCCGAAAAACGACCCCGGTTTTAATAATACAAGCTGTACACATGTCTGTATGACATGTGTGCTGATGTACCTCTATATCGAGGTACATTTTGCGTATAAACGCGGAGTGGTTAAAGTCAGATGTACCAAGGGTGGAGCCTGAAAGGGAAAAGGGAAATTCGGCGATAAGGGAACTGAAATTTAACGTTCCCAGTCCATCTGCTCGATTAACGGATTCCTTGAAAGGTCGCACAACTGCTCTATACTAGACTAGACACCTTTTGGCTATTCGATTAAAGCTCGATTTATTTGAATAATCTGTGTAACAAATTACTGGATTCTAAACATTTACTATTCCAATTTACTCTTTCGATCGGTTTATCAATGGGCGATGAAAGCCCGCATGCCGAAGGAATCGATGCGGCGGTATTATATAATGGAAAAATTCGGCGTGCCGCAAATCCGGGCGAGATTTTCCCACAGTGGTGATGTTTGTTGCGGCCGAGATAAGGTAGAAAGCCGATTGAATCAACACCTGCGCCCATGAGAAAATACCCTACACACATGGTGAGTTCCAGGACCGTAGCAAGGACATTATTTCATTAAAGAAATACGCATAAAAAACCGCAAAAAATGCAATTTAGGTATGTAAATGGTTCGGTAGGATTTGGTGATATTAGGAACAGTTTAGAACGGTAATTCTGCATCGACAAAATGTGCAATTCCTTGAAATATGCAATCACTAAAAAGTGCAATTAATAAAATCTGGAATTGATTAAATGTGCAGCAATTGTTAAAATCTGCAATTATTTTCAAATCTGCAATCTATAAAACATGCAATTGATAAAATCTGCAACTGATAAAATCTGCAATTTGATGTTAATTCCTATTTGTTTTCTGTGAAACCTGAATACGTTCCCGGCAAGAATTCGGTATAAAAATCAGGAAGGGTCCGAAAGGGCACCCGCTGACATACGGCCCTTTTATGTAAGAATCCCATCGGGGGCACTTTTCGCCAATCTAACCCCTTTTTTTTATCGAAAGATGTCGTAAGAAAGCCGAGCATCTGCGATGATTGCACGGACGAAGGAGCCGCTTTTAATATCAAGGAAATCCTGGTTCCGGTCGGAGCTATTATTTAATTACGTTAGAAAAATTACGGAACTGGAACTGTAATTTGTGGGATAATTGTGCAAAACTCATCGTCTGGTGCTTTGAAAAGCGCTTGATTTTGTCGTGTATAGTTGTTTGGTCCACCCTGTAGGTACATTAGAAGAGTTCTTTATCTGGCGAGTTATGAAAGATTAATTTTGTTTGCACACCTGCCGTAAAAAGGCCAGAGAATGCCGAGATGGTTTTCCTTAAAATAAATACCGTGGAAATGTACTAATTGAAACGGGGAATAACTAAAGTTGATAAGTTTGTGAGAAATTAGTGTTTAGACGAATTCACGGTCATGATATAAAATTGTATATTACAGGGTTTGTCCAAAAAATACTCGATAAAGTTGTTATTCTTGTACGAGGTGTGTTTAATAAGTTTCGGTTATCAATAAAAACTACATTACCTGTATTTTATTGGAGACTTGTTTGTGGTAAAAGACCTCCATTATTTTATTATTTTCGTTATATACAGACATTTTTTGGAAATATTCCTCAATGTCACCCAGTCGAATTAGTAAAAACCCGAATTGTACTTAACACCTTTTATAGTTTCATTTCGAACGTCATCGTCAGGTGGTTAATCGATAAATTTCAATGTAAACATAATTAACTTGGCGTTTAAACGAAAAAAAAACCTACATACAGAACGTCCCATTTCTATACCAAACACCAGTAATATTAACCGTAAAATATTGGCAACCAGCGGCACAAATTAACTGATTTTTCATCACAAATGTAAGATGAAAAATTGGGCAATTGCAGCGGGGAAACCCCAATGGAAACCCGCCGGTTTTTTCGGGCAAAGTTGAAAGAGCATTCCGAACACATGTATCGTTAATAAACTTCCACATTTTCGGTCGCAATAAAACTTTTATTAGACGCCTCGTAAATCACGGTCAAATTTCTGCGGAATTGCCAGCCATATGTCAACCGGCCGAACGAAGAAGAAGCGAAAAAAGTTCTCGTTAATTTGCCAAAGAGGAAACGACCTTTCTTTCTTCTTTCCTGTCATATTATTTCAGTACGCAGACACGTGTTTTACAATCAGATTTGCCTCTCGGAGATTAACCCAATCGTGATGGCCAAATTGGCCTCTTCCTAATTGGCCAATAACAATCAATAGCGCATATACGGGGTGACAGCGAGAAGTAATCCAAACCACCGGCGCGTTTTACGAGTTCTGTTTAAGGATAACTTTCTGGGTTACAGATGTTTAAATGCATGTAAACTGTATCGAATCGTTAGTTCGAAATTTTTATTGAACAGATGCGCTGGGATATTTTTATTATGCCCTTAGAGTGTGTGTAATAAAGTCGGAAAGGTCACTGACTGGCTGATTGATTGGTGGAAGTTTTTGGGTGGAAGAAAATTACGCATTAAATTAAATATCTGTAAGTTAAGTACTGTAAGTGCAATGGTACTTATACTTTTAAATCGTATGTTCTATGTACTGGGATATAGTACACTCGTACATGTGGCGATATGTGAGATAAGGAACACCTGTAGAATTGCGCATATCTTTCGTTTGATCTGGTTGAATCGTAAATATGTTGTGATAAAAAAATGATTGCCTCAAGGTCCTCAAATATCTTTAAAATAAGTTTCTATAAAATTCCGTTTCTAATCATTTTTCTAATTAAGTTTTCCCATTGTACAGGCGAAATAAAAAATCCTCAAAAACTTCAGTATAGATTGGTAGATATTCATCTTCATCTTCCTAGGTGTTCCTTCCACACAATCGACGCATTACGTTAATTACCGAGCGTACCGGGAGCGGTTGATTTTCAATTCGCCATGTACATCACGGAGAACTGTAATTTCTTCATTATCTTCACATCACAATTTCGAAAGTGCACGCATGTGTGGTCGCCCGCAAACGCAACAGGTGGTCCCGCCTAAGCCTACTCTTCATTCACTAAAACGATCGATTCTAATAAACCAAATTCCCGCGTCAGGCGTCTCCCGCTATTCCCTTCGAACTGTAGATAGGTACTTTTCTTAACCAAATTCGCGCTTAAGGCGTCCCTTGCTATTATCTTCGAACTGTAAGTAAGGCATTCCAATAGATATATTAACCAAATTTTCGCCTAAGACGTCTCTTGTTATTCTCTATGATCTGTAGGTAGGTAAGTTCATCGATTAACCAAATTCGCGCTTAAAGCGTCCCTTGCTATTATCTTCGAACTGTAGTTAGGTGGGTGCATATGTATTTTAACACGAATTAGGTGCACTGATGATTCTTAATTAATCATTAAAGTACCCGATGATTATAATTAGATAAAATATCGAGTTTTATGTACTCGTATAAGTATTTTATTTTAGAAATAACAAACATCTGGTTTCGTTAGATGAGATGTACTTACTTAATTGTACTGAATGCACCAAAATTGCCAAATAAAAATATATACAGGGTGATGTTTATAAATAAAAAGATCTGCAGAGGACTGTAACTGACCAATTTAATGGTTTATAGGCTATACAATTCGTATGCCGAAGGCATCGAGATGGCCGAATTCGATAAATTTAAATGGAAACATTAAAAACGGTATAATGTATGAAAAAATCGGTGTGTTTGTGAATGAAAAAGGGTATCGAGAAACGCAGCTGTTCGGGTATAAAGTCGGGAAAGGTCAACTATACAGGTCTCACTGTATCGTAGATATACTATATGTGTATAATATATATGTATATATCGCGTATCCGCCGTGGCGCCGATTCTTAAACGGACCGTGGACGCGATAAACGTTTATTGCGTTTATAATTAGACGATTACCATTCCTATTGTGCCGTCTAGGAAAAAGAATCGACGACGATTGTTTGCAAATTCATCGGGGAACAGGACCGGCTCGGTCGCAAATCGACCTGGAAAATTCTATTTTCAACACTTCTCCTATTATTAAACCTGGTGGTAGGTACCTAACGATTACAGATGCAGGGAAATGATTATAATAATTAAATTAATGTATCGGGTAACAACAATCAATTATGCTGTTGACTCAGCCTGTATAAACGAAATGTAAAAGAGTCTTCATAAGTGATTGATTCCCACGTTACCTAATTCGAAATGAACGTAGTAAATTTGTTATGTTTATGTTGGTACAAAAAAAATAAGTTACTAGAATACTGTCATTAATGTCAAGGCAACGTCAACTCGATGAAGTCTCGGTAGAAATAGCGTTTTTTGTTTATTTTTCCTCGTTTTTCCTGTGCCTTTCCCGAAGAAAACTGTGTATCAACATAACCTTAAATTAATGATAGGTAAAAATAATGAAGAACTTGGTCGATTAATGTTTTTCCTCCACTGTGTTGATTTGTATTCAAAATAGGGAAATTTCTTGAAAATAATAACAACTTTGCACTTTGTGTTGCATACATTTTTAGGTTAGCAATTTTTTCTAAAAGAATCAGAATTGTCAATTCGATAATCTTCAATTACGCAATTGACTCACCCTGTATAAACTTGCAACATTCTAATCTACAAATTTTCTTGAAATATTTCGGTAATTTTCCCCGCATTTTTACCTACGAAAAGAACCTTTCACAATAATATGCCCCATAGGTCAACACATCGTAGATCATAGCAGGCCGCGTTCTTTTAGGAAGTGGCTAAGCACCCGACGACCGGGCACTTAGCGCTCGATGACGTCTTTAATAGTCTTGTTAAATTGGAAACGAATCGGCCGTTTCGCCAATTTCGGATCCGATTCGAATCGTTTCCGAGAACAATTAGGCGCGTGTTCTATCCGCTAAAGTGCACGTTAATTTAGAGAAAGTTACGTATACAGTACCAGTACTAGTGTAATCGACGATTATATATACCGGGTGAGACAAAATATGATTTGTATACATTAAGTAATACTTATACTATTTGCCATCTGTGGGTCGTTAAATTTGTGCTGAATTTTTTTTGTAAGAATTTAAAATTTAGTAAAAGAGTTGCGTAAATATAGAGGATAATAAAGAAAGTGAACTGATTAATTTGTGGTAATTAAAAATTGTTTACTGCTAAATAACCGTAAATGGTCAGTTTCTCTCCGAACTCGGTTCGATTGCACTAAATCGATTAATCGATTAATTTTTACACCAGGAATCATTTACATCACTTTTCAAGTGATTTCATTCTGAATTATCTCGAAACGCAATTCACCTTAAATCCTCAAGTCTTGTATGGACCTCATAACGAGTAGAGGAAGCCCAAAGGCGGCCGTGACGGCGGCGGCGGCGGCGGCGGCGGCGGCGCCATCTCTTTCCCGGCGCCTCCATAGCCTCCTCACACAATTTACCTGTACAATCGTCCCCTAGGCCACGCCCATTCGCTGCCCGTCCGCTCATCCCATTGGCGCATCAGCCCCCACCATGACTATAAATACCCCATTCAAGCATCGCAATACCTCAAACCATTCACGGACGTCTATCGTGTCACTTCCAATCGAATCGTCGAGCGTGTGTGTGTATGTGTATGTGTATGTGTGCATAATCGCAGCATATATTCCAAAACAAATAACGAGAATACTAATAGAGAAGAAATAAAATGAAAGCGGCGGTAAACAGTGCTCTGTGCAGCGAAGGCGGCGTGCCGGTGTCGTCGAAAGTGTCGAAGCGGCGGGACGTGGAGAACGAGGAGATCCAAATGTACCTGTCGAAGTTGAAGGACCTGGTGCCGTTCATGCCGAAGAACAAGAAATTGTCGAAGCTGGAGGTGATCCAGTACGTGATCGATTACATTTGCGATTTGCAGAACGCCTTGGAAACGCATCCGGCCGTGAACGCGTTCGACGCCGCCGCCGCCTTGGGACAGAAAAAGTCCCAAGCGGCCGTCAGTCCCAGGCAACCGTTGGGACTGAGGCCTAGTCCCAACACCATACTGGCCCCCTGCGAGGCGACTGTACTCCAAAATATTACGGTGAGTTGATTTTTTATGAACGAATCAAGTATCAAGTCATCGGTGTATAATTTTTTTTTGGGACGCTCTGTATACGCGGGTATTTTTGTACTATACTTCGTCAGCAGTTTAGTGCATTTTTTAGGCCTTTTTTTCATTCATTTCGATGAATCCAATCACTTTGTATAAACGCAGTCAATTTTTCGATTCAATTTTTCAACATATAAAAAGATTTTTTTGGGACGCTCTGTAGAAACATGTATATTTTTGTCCCATTTATGTCCCATTTACTTTGAATGATGTCTTCTATCTTTTTTTCATACATTTGACTAAATATTGAGGAATCCAAAAAATCTTCCGGCCTTTTACTTCGAGTTTCTACAGAAGCAAAGGAGCGCGAATAATTGTTGTTTTGTTGTCGAAACTGCTATTGGCTCATCGCCGTTTCGAAACAATGAAAACCCGCGGACAAAACTAGTTTGACCCCGTTTTACATTCGGCGAATCGCTGAAATTCAATTTCGTGTATTTATTTTTTTTTTTCCTTTCGTCAGGGCAAATTTCAAGGCGAGAAAAAAATCCGGCTGGTTTTGCAACCTTGTTGCGCTTTAAAATTACCCATCGCACGAACAACTTTCTATAAATTTGTTTTATTTTTGTATATGTTTACCCGATTATCCGGAAATCTAAAATCTAATAGCACTATTTAACGAACCACCCTGTAGATGTGCACATAAACGGGTATTAATTAATAGCGCGTAATAACCCCTCACCAAATGGTAAAACATGCGTGACATTTGGTCGAGACCAACATTTTGTCGCTTGTGCGATAAGAAAAAGCCTTTATTTAGGGAGAGAGAAAACTTCCCATCAATACCGACCATTATTTTCTCTCCGAATCAATGAGACGAGTGTTTGTAGAAAAATTCACACGTGTTCGTTGCATCTGCACGGGTTTTAGTCCGTTCTGCTTCCTCTTCCAACCCGAAAAGGGTTCGTATTTACATATATATACGGGGTACCCACCGAATGTTATACACATCGAAAACTAATCGAACGAACCTCGTATGATTTTTTTTGTATCAAAGTTTCTTCGACTGAAAACTTTTTGTACGTACTCGGTATGTTTGTAGACGGTGTTACTACGGGGTGCGTTCGAAAATTTCTACGACTAATTGCGTTAAATAACAGTTAATCGAGTTTATCTCTCTTGAATGATATTATAGTACTTAACAAACAGCCCCTATGGTGGACACGCAGCTGCGCCGTTTCTGTGCTTTAAAAACGGCCGGGATTTTATTTCTATAATGTATATTCGTTTGAGAAAAAGTTTATACGCAGAAGATGTCTGGGTGAGGGGGCGACACCGTAGAGAACACGTGCACACACGATTTCCAATGAATACCGTTATTATAGCCTCTTAGACTTGCACTGGCAAAGAAATATCCATTCAATCGCGGCCAAACAGATGTTTCGTTTTTTTAATTTTAAACGAATTTTTCAGCACTGCAAATCCATTATACTCCGTTCGCTATCAAGACAGTAATAACGCCTAATTTTGTGTACAAAAATTCGTCTCAAAAGACTCGAAGGAATTGTAAAATTCCAAAACTTATATCATTGTGTAATAATAGATATTTATTTTACTTAAGTTGTGCCACTCTGTATACAGTGTGTATAACAATAGTCGACCCTTTTCTTTTGTACTTCAGTCGTACTTTTGGGATATTAAATAGTTAATCTTCAAGAAAGTTTTACGACTATCTCCTGGCCTGATGTCGAACGGAGTATAATTCCCCTTTCGTACCGTTATAAATTTAAGTTTTTGATATAAATGCAGTTTACTTAAAGGCTAATTTTGTTGTATTTTTTGTTACAGACGCCCGAAAGTCTGACGGATAGGCAGATATCCTGTTGAATCGGCCTGTATATAAAGAAAGATCTCATCAATCGCGTCGTGATGGCGTCGTCTCATTCCATTTTCCCTGATGAAAGACGGTCTAATATCGATGCAGCGGCGGAAAAGTGGCGGAAAATCTCCCCGATATTAATTCGCTTTCAATGGAAACTTCAGGGATCGACTGATTTTTATTCGTCTTCGAAGCGAAAATGGTGGAGAAATAGTTGCGAGTGAGGACGATTAGTTTTTAGTGATGTACCTGTTATGTTGCAATTTTTTTTTGTTAATTAGATTTTATTTTATTGTTTGTGTACATAGATGAAACGTGAGTTAGGCGGGTTTGAAACAATTTAAAGAAAAAAAAAACACTAAAAACATGTAATATATATAAATATTATTATATTTAAAAAAAATAATAATGACTCACTATTGGATGTTTCGAAAATTTTCTGTTCGTAACAATTAATTCGGTTTATCTGAAAATTACTCATTTCGTGAGAATGTCGATTGAAATTTCGATAAACTGAGTAATAAATTCCAATTCGGCGGATTCGGTTATTAGAATGGCGATCGCAAAATCACTCGAAATCGATTCTAATACGAATTCGCCCCAATCACAGATAAAATGTACTTTTTTTTGACTATATACAGTACGTTCAAGTTAAATCGGTAGTGACGTCAGGAGCAGAAATAATTCATCGTGACGTCATAGCTGACTTGTACTTATTCGCTATATCTACTTATTCGTGAGTTTTCATTCTGTGATTTTTTTAGCGTATAATTTTGTACAAAACAGTTCTCTTAAGGGATGTTTTTTATTTTAATTTTTTTTTATTTAAACGTTGGTTGTGCGAGCGCTTTTATTTTTCGAAAAAAAAAACCGGGAATCATCTGATGGTTGTTGTTGTTTTTTCTTTTCGATTTTTCGCCCCGAATAGATTTCCAACGAGTCGATATATGTATAAATATTATATTTTTGTTCTAGAAAAAAACTTTTGTACATAGTTACCTCTACGGCAACTTAATGTTGTTAAAATTTTATTATATGAAAATTAACGAATTGAATAAATATGATTTTTTTTCTACGTACATCCAGGGTTTCTTTTTACGCATTACTTATTCCGGATCAAAATTAAAGCAAAACAGGAAACACCTTAAATTAACAAAAGCGCTATAAGCTATAAGTAAGTAACAAATAAAAATATGTCTGGTACGCTCTGTAAAGTTTTTTTCTTTACGTGAAAGCGACACGTGTGCACACACATTTTCTACACGAAGCCTACCTTTGGGGATTTATCTCGAAGAATGTACGCACACCTGCGTTGGCTAATCGCACAAAGAAGACACGATGAAGAAAATACTTAAATTCCCCCGCATTTCGCTCGAACAGGCCAAACAAACACGTTACCTGAACGTTTCACTTTATCGGGCCACCCTGTATATACAACATTGTGGATATAAAGAACTAGAGTCGAGGAAAATCTGGCCAACTCGATTCCTTATTCGTAATAAATTTTCGAACTCGAATTCTCGAACTAACTCGACTCCATCTGAATAGGTTTTTAAAGTTTAAATGAGGAAAATATTTATATTGCCCTGTATTTCGAACAAATCGACCAAATAATCAAGTGACCTGAACGTAAATCGGGTCACCCTGTATATATTTAGCATGTAGAATTCATTCGATTAGTAAAAAAGTTGGGGTGATTAAAATCATTTAGAGGCGAGAAAAATCCGGCGAATTCTATTCCTTCGGAATACATTTCTTCTCGCCTTGAAATTGATTAGTAATTTCTGTATGTTACATTACATGACAAGTAAAGTAAGTATCAATATTTGCTAATTGTAAAATGAATTATATTATTGATAAAATTCCAAGTATCTGCAGGTTTATTAGATATCTCGATAACGATCTTCTTTTAAGTACATAAGTACATTCGTACTAAAAGCACCGAATTGTACTCGTTTTTAAGTATGTTCATATACAGGGTGTCCCAAAATCGTGGTATGTACTGGAGAACTTCTACAGGTAATAAGTAAAACTTAAAAATCGAAGAACAAGTAACAGTTTTTTTACTCATATCTGCGGTTGTTTTTAGTTAGTTTATCTACCGCAACAATTCCTGCCGAGCCAATGAATTCTCTTTGTAATATCCGCCTTAGCTGCACAAAATGTGACTCACATTTATCTAACCGAAATTGCTCTTTGTTCGAAGGCCTCTTCCTATTCTGGTTACCGGTCATCGATTGTATTACATTTTAACTTCCTTTAGATTAATAATTATTGCCGAATAAAATGGTAAAGATTTGTTGTCCAATACAGCAGCTACGTCCCTGACACGGGTACATCATCGAAATTACAAAACGTACGATTCAATGTTATGACATTTAGGTACATACAGGTGTGTGTAATTTTTTCATCAGGTGATAGTACTAAAAACATTACCTAGGTGCACAAACATCTGACTATTGGTTCGATAACGTTTCGCGTTTATTTTTAAATTATTTAAATGTTTTTTATGGTAGGTATTGTATTTTTCCGAGTGGAATAAGATAATAAAATCGTACGAATTTAGGTGAAAAGTAGGCCTTGCAAATTAACGGTAATATATTGCACCAAATGCATTATACTGGGTGATTCAAAAAAACCTACACTGACTTTAATTCTATCTACACTGTGCTTTATTCCAGATCGCAACATAGTAGGTTAAATAGGCTAAAGGTGCGATAAAGACAACTTTCATTAGACACTTACAAAAGAAAAAGAAAGAGTGACATTTGTGTCATTGCAACTTGTCACTCTGACAACTGTCATTTTATTAATCTTTCTTTATTCAGCTCATAAAAAGACCATATTGCAATCTGAATTAAAGCAATCGGTATGTACTTTACTATTAGGGAATTTGTTATAACATTTCACTAAATTCAATATACCAGGAGATTAAAAAAGCCTACTGCGTTAAATTCCAGCTGCTTTACTGGAGAATTTGTGGTAAAATTACACTATACAGGGCACTAAATCTACTATAAAATCCACCAAACATCAAAATTTTGAACAAAAACTGTCATATAACACTTTTTCGACCTACTTTACCTACTAGAGAGTTTGTGGTAACCTTGCACCAAATGCAATATACCGAGTGATTCAAAAAAAACGATAAATTTCGAGCTACTTTACTGCTATATTACATCAATATCGCACCAGCATGTATTCTAACGGGTACCTAACAGTAAAAGTACTACACATACTTATCACCTTCCGTTTGCATTACCATAATAATTCGAAATGAAAAAAAAAATAATAGTGAAAAGAAATCCGTTCCCCGACAAATATGGAAACGGTACGGTCGGTTCTCACGATAGCGACAGGTACTCGCTAGTACAGGTAGTACTTTTTAGCCTATAATAAAGTACGTTGAACAATCGAACCATGGGAATTGGTGGTGCATTCAACTGTGTTATAACTCGCTATATTTATACATTTTTTTAATGTTACTAGCTCCAAAAAATGTTTTGTAATAACTCATCAAAAATTATAAAATTCTAATTAAAAAGAAATCACCGAACCATACTGTTAGACATGCATATAAAACATAAGGGATGTTCAGCGATTTGATTCCGGAACGGAACGTTTTACCTACCGGTGGAAAAATAAATAAGTAACAGGTGTTTGGTAAGCATTAGCTCGGTAAATGGGCGATAATAATTGCTGATTGACTGTTTAAATCCGACAATTGCTTTTTCACTATCGAATAATATCCGCCCAGGTGCGACCGGAGAAGAGCCTTTTAAATTTCCTGCGATTATGTCCATGAGAAATTCCCAACGCTACAATATTCAAGCGAATGACTATACTAATACTCGCTTTCACCCTGTATATAATTATTGCAGAGATTCTCTACGAGGTGTACAGAAGATAATGAATAATCCAGCAGGCGTTTGCGAACTTTTAAAGCCTCGGTAAATGGAGGAGGGTGGATGAAACTATTCATTTCGTGCTTTTTAATAGGCCTGGTTGAAATAAATAGCGAGTATAAGGCGATTTATGGGTCCGCGTTTCCCGTTTAAATACTGGCCTAAAAACCAAATGAGGGTAGAAAATCTATTAGATCAGATCAAATATTAAACATGTTGTTTTCGTACGGGGTGCAAATGTTACATTGATAATACCGGGGATGATAACTTATTTATAAGTCCAGCACCGACCAAATGGCGGGGGATTCTACTTATGCAGGGTGGAACGTAAAAATTCACTGTACAACTCGAAAAAAATATGTTTTCAACCGGTTTACAGCTAGCAAAATAAAAAAGAATAAATTTTTAATGTTTTAACTCGCGTTACTACAGTACAAAGTTTGCTTGCTCGGTGCAAATGTACACAGGTGTCACGATGAGTACATCAATTCCACTCTTCACACATTTTTAATCTCTATACATTCATACTTATAACTCGAATATTTCAAGATTCAATCACCCTGTATGTTTTGCTTAGTAGTGGAATATTTTCTCCACAAATGCAACTTTCGTTATGTCCTTTACTCATCTTAAATCGCCCTCATTAGTTACCTGTAATAGTGTGTTAGTGCAGTTGGTACATTTTGGCCGATTTAATTCAGTCCGCTGTATTTGGAACTTCGATAACAGTAATTGAAAAATGTAAATTTTAATAAGCGAGGTCGAGCCAATTAGATACTTTTCTACGTATAAGTACATGTACAAACGCGCGTAAAAAGAAAGGGGAGCAATTACTTTAAGCGCTACTTAAAGAAAGCTAACACTTTTTTTTTATTTCGCTCCGATTAGACTAAAATTTTAGCATAGTCATTTCGTATTAAAAGTCTGGTTTGTTATAGTCCTCCCACAAACCAGCAAATACAGTTATAGTCCCCCCAAAATCAGTATTTAAATCGATTAGAAGCCAACCAATCGTCCTGTACATTACAAAAGGAATAGACAATTTGAAATTTTAAACGGACTGAAATTATTCCCTTGGGTATTTGTTAACCAAATGTCCACGGCGTGTTTCATTTTTCCGGCGCGATGAATAATGGAAAAGATTTATTAAGCAATGCCCCCTGTTTAACCTCATTATGCGCCGTCCTTTGAGAAATCAGAGATCGAATTTTCCCTTTTAATATGCCCCACACGCGCTCGCTGAATCACCCGCTAATAAGACACATTCGCGAGCGAAAAGACCATCCATCGAATCCATTTTCCTTCGCAAAGGAGCCGTTCGGAGTTCATTGTTTCGACTGGCGCATGATTATAATAAAACATTTAACTGCTTGTCGGGACAATAGTTTTATATGTTTTGGTCGAGCACGTACCGAGCATTAATTATCAGAAACGAACGGAGGAAAAAAAATAATAATGGAAATCACCTTTTGTTGAACGATCTATTTATTTAAAAAATGGACGCCTATACGTAATAACTATGTACCTATGTTGGGTATTGTTCTACAAACACCTGAAAAGAATGTCGAAGCTGAAATAGTAAAGTTCACAATTTCCATTTGTTTGTTCCCGCAAAAATACCGCGGAATAGAATAGAATGGAGCAGAGAAGAATGGGTTAGAGTAGAGTAAAATGGAGTAGAATGGTGTAGGATTTGTGTGGAATGATGTAGAGTAGTGTAGAATGGAGTAGAATAGAGTAGAATATGGTGTAGAATTGAGTGAAATGATATTAGAATAGAATGTTGTAGAAGAGGGCAGAATGGTGTAGATTAGAGTAGAATGGTGTATAATAGATTATAATGGTGTAGAATATAAAGTGGAATGGTGCTGAATGGTGTAGAATGGCGTAAAGTAGAGTAGGATGGTGTAGATTAGGGTAGAATGGTGTAGAATGAAGTGGAATGGTGTCGAATGGTGCTGAATGGTGTAGAATTTGCAGAATAATTTAAGACTTGAATAGATTGGTGCTGATTAGAGTATAGAATAGTGCAGAATAATGTAGGATTTAGTGCCTATAATGGTGTAGAATGGCGTAAAGTAGAGTAGGATGGTGTAGAACGTTGTAAAACAGTGCAGTGTGCAGTGATTTGGAGTGAAATCGGGTGAATTTCGAGGAAAAATTCGT